AAATTTTTTTTTCGGATAAGTTAAAGGTTTGTACTTCTGCTTTTCTGATTTAAAATTATTGTCTCCTATTGTTTTGTATTTAAACAATATTTTTCTAAAGTTATATTTGATTAAATGATGCGCGGAAAAATTTAAATTTCATAAAGAGGGGATGATATGACGAAGATCTCCGAAATAATGATGATTAGTCGTAAGACATCTACGATGATATCAATATATAAATTATTACAATTTATGACTTTAATGTAAATAAAAGGGAGATAATCAGGGCTAAACTGTTTATGTTTTTTCTATTCATATAATTTATCACAAAAATATTTTGAGCTTTTGCGTGATAAAATCAGAGCAAGGCTCGGACCAGATTTTTTTAAAAAAATTTTTCGGTTCGGCCCGGGTTTTATATTATACAGGCCCGGCCCGGATTATTTAAAATATATTTATTTTTTATAGATAATGGTGATTTAAGATATTTGGTTTTAAAATATAGGCCCTGTATGTTTTTAAAAAAATTTTCAGGCCCGGCCCGGGTATATTTAAAAATTTTAAAAACGGTCCGGGCCTGTCTGGTTAAAATATTTTAAAAAGTTGCACCTCTTACTTGATTTGAAAGTTAAATGTTTTATCACTGTTTTGTTCTCTTCCGGGAAATAAAAATCTTATATTTACCGTCTGAATGGCACCTATCTAAATAAAACTAATCACTATCCAAAAAAAATATCTCAAATCAAGTTGGGCAGTAGTTAATCATATATGCAATTAGATTTTCAAGCGTATAATTAGTAATTATGGCTACATTTACAATTATATATTAAGCGCCTAGTCCTGCATATACGATGCATTATAATAGTATAGATAAATTTTAGGGAAATAATTATAAGAGGGTTTTCTACATTTTATGTATGCACAAGAGGTACAGGAAGTAAGAAGATAAAAAAAATCGCCCGCTATATATATACATATACTAAGAGTTTTTGAATTATAAATAAAGTTATTATATGTACCTGCGTCTCTTACTAAAAGATTACAGTTAATATTTGAATATTTTGGCAATTATTATAATCATTTTAATTAATTGTTGTTAATGTGGACATACATAATTTCCGATGAATGTCATCTGATTATTTTATATAGAATCAGGGATAATACATATCTCTTTATTATATGTCGTCGATTAGCTATCAAATGTAATTGCAAAGATAAAGGATATAAATACAGGATCTATAGAAGGATTAGATTGGCATAAGAGTTTAAAATATTAAATATAAATTTTCGATTAAATCACTACTTACAAGTATATTTTCAAATATTCATATAATATAATTTTTAAACAATAAAAAGTAATGTTGTAAACGAACGCGTTCAAGTTTATGAAAAAAGTTCTTTTTTTTTGAAAAAAATGATATGATGTTCTTTTTATTTTTGACGAACTTTGAACGTGGACGCGTTTCTTTTTTTTGGAGAACGCGTTGGTTTTTTACGTTCGTTCAATGTTAATATAATTTAATATTAATCCAAATTTTTAAAGAAAAAAGGGTTATTTTTAATCTGTTGTTTCCTTTATCACATGAATTTTTTTAACCATTCATTATTTCTGTTGATTCTAAATTACATTACCATAGCCCAAATATAATAAATCAGTAACATCATGTATTCAATAAACTAATTCTATTGTTACTAAATGTAAAATGTGTCCAAAAATTATAATATCGTAAAATCTTCAAGTTCTAATTTAAAGAGATACTTGTAATATTTATTATTTTATATTCTATAAGTATCCTAATTTATTTTCAATTGTTGTGTTTAATAGGCTTGTTAAATTATGATTATTAAAATAAATTCATAAAGTAAAAATCATTAAATAATATATATTATAAAAATTAATTATTTTTAGTGAGATTATTTGAAATTTGTTTTTTATCAAAGGTTTTATATTAATAAACACAAAAGTATTATAAGTTTATATATATATTTTATAAATAATTTTTAAAAAAAAATTTTTTATATGATATATAAGTTTTTACATATTAAGAAATTTTTTTTAAAAAATAAAATATTTTTTTATTCACTTTAAAACTATTAATTTTAAACATGGCTAAAAATAAATTTATTCATAATTTTAAACGAACGTGAACGCGTTCCTTTCTTTAAAGGTGAACGCGTTCCTTTTTTTAAAGGTGAACGAGTTCAATTTTTGTTGGTTCGAATTTTTAGAAATGTTTACAGCCCTAATAAAAGGCATTTATAAAAAAAAATGTTTGCATATCAAAAATCATCATTTTTACATTTACAATAGCTAATCGACACTATAATAAACGATATATATCTTATCCCGAATTATATATATAAAAATCATATGACATTCATCGAAAATTATATGTCCTAATTTAAAAATAATTAATTAAAAGGATTAATAAATATTACCAGAATATTTACCAGTAACTCTCAAAGATTTCATTTGTTTCTTTTAGCGAGAGCTTCAAGTATTTATATTTCAAGTTTCACGAAAATAAATTCGCAACAATATATCGTCTTCGCTGTAAATGTTTTGCTTAAAAAAAACTTTAATTTTCTTTCGCGATAACGCTAAAAAGTGTTTCAAGATAAAAGATTGACCTGATATGTCTTTATCATGAGAACACTAAATAAACTTAACCTACACAAGCCCCGTCTTAATTAACCCTTTGTTTAATTTGGTACAAATTTTTTTCTAACTTCTTATTTCCTGTAAATGTTTAAACAGAAGGCCCATTTTGTTATGTGTAAGGGTAACTACGGTCGTCTAAAAAATGTAGATAGTCAATCTCATAATCACGTCCCTTAAATTTTTGTTGCGAGTTTTTAAGAGAAGCAAGAGTTACTTTTGTATATATATTTAATGTATAGGGCTAGATGGCTAATATGAAGTATCATACTTAATTTTTTTACAAAAAAAGGTTTATAATTGCAACCAATCATTCATATTTTATAATTCTTGGTGGTAATTTGAGAACAAAACAAAAAGATTTAAAATCAATAATATCTGAAACTGTCTTAAATAAGCATAATATTTTTTTTTTAATTTGGAAGTTTTACTTCTATTTAATTAATAACAATATGAAAGTGATAGAATTAATATGCTATGTTGCCTTTGTCAGCACCTGTAGAAAAACATTTAAGCTTTACTAAATAAACAAATAATAGAAAAGTTTTAAAAAAGAAACTGTTTAAATTCAATATAATTTGATTAGGGTAAAAAAATATGAGTTCAAAAGTTTATCATGATATTCTGTAATACAGAATTTGATTGCAATTGTAAACATATCTAGTGTAAATGTAATCTATAATTTATATCTAGGCTTATCTTGTTGTTCCTTTATGGGAACATCATATTTTAGTCTAACAGAATGGTAAATAAAATTTAAAATAAATTGAATATAATATAAGCCTGGAGATTTTGCTGTTGCAGAAAATATTGGATATCAATTTGCCAAATCTCAAGGTTTATTCTGGTAAAAATCTTAATCAGGCCATTCTCAAAAATGGGGCCAAATCGAATTCTAACAACACTAGTTATAAATTTCATATTTGGCTATATCTAATTATTTTTTATATTTTTTTAATTTTCTGAAATTGCATATTTTTAACAAGTATTTTCCAAACATAAAAATACAAATAAATATGTTATCATATAGTTACATCTCATTCTAATTACTTTATATAATTTCGATTATTAAATTAAAAGGATTAAATTTAAAAAAATGATAAAATCTTTATCACATTAATATAGTTTCTCATTATTTTTATATAAAATATAGTAATACCATTTTTAGAAAAGGAATTAGTAATTATAAAATTTTAAATTATTTGTAATTAAAAATTAATTCCTTTTATCAAGTAATTATGGCCATTCCTGCCTCAAATCCATTTTTCTTAGTTTATCAATTGTTAAATTTTTTTAAATGAAAAAATTTTGTTAAAATAATTTTAGGACTACTACAAGACCTCATAATTAATATATTCTAAAAATGATTTTTGTATAAATGTGTATTATTTGTCAAAATGCCATTTATAAGTTCCAGCAGTGAGCATGACCATATGCTTTAGTAATATTTCCATAATTGTCAATAGCTCAATGCTTACTTTTTAAGAATAATTTCAGGTCTGGAGATAAAAATAATAGCATGTTATAATAATTTAAGAAAGAAAAAATTGATGAATTATAACATTTATTCTATCTAGCCAAGTTAAAATTTTTTAAAAAATGGCCCAATTATGATTTTAGCCATAAATAATTTTATGTAAGCCTCAAGATTTGACAAATAGATGTCCAAATCTTTCTGATATCTATGAATAAAATCTCCAGGTTTACATAATATTATTTTGGTTAAAATCTTAATTGGGCCATTTTTAAAAATCAACGCAAATCAGGCTTTTTAAAAACACTAGTACCTACTCACTACCTAGAAGTAATGGTTTTAAAAAAAGTGCTATCAATGTTATAGCTCCACAATGGGCAGGTTTTATTCAACAAGTCTGCTCACTTGCTAAAAAATTTCTTTTTAAAAAAAATTCACCTGCCCACCTACTCATTTATCTAAAAATTTTGTTTAAGCCATCCATCCAATGTATAAAAATTATTTTAATGGCTGGTTGACTCTTTCTTTATTTTAATGTATTTTTAATTAAACTTATAAAATAAGCAATATTATAAAATAAATTTTTTTTAATAAATAGAAGTCTGTTCTGCTAGGTTCACTAAAAAATATTTAAAATTCATCCACCTAAAAATATTTTTTAACCTGCCCAATGTTTAAATTTTTTTAGAAAGCTCACACAATGCAGAAATGTCTCTGGAAAAATGTGAAATGATTATCTAAACTAAGCTACATAAAAATTAAATTTGCAATAAAAAAGCTAACATTATTGTTATTAGAACTTCATAAAAAAATTAACTTTTTTATTCAAGCTAGTAAAAAATAATGCTTTCAAAAAAACGCATGCAAAACATAAGATGTACAAACCTCCACCATTTCTATAGCAAAGATATGGAAATCTCCATACATTTCCAAGGCTAACGGCATATCCTATTAGAGAAAGTACAAATTCTAACTGGTTCCCCCATGTATAACGAGAATTATCATGATTTATCATAAGTGGGTTAAGAGTCTTCAAATTTAAAGCAATTTCTCCATTATAAGTTTTACTATTTTTTGTATCATAATCTTGTTTATCATTGTGTAGCAAGCTATTGTTTAACTTCATATCATTAAGCACTTTATCTTCTGAAAGCTTAATTAAATTATCACCTTCATTCATCATATTTTGAACTTTACAAGTTTGTAAAATGCAATCCAAAGCATTTGAACATGGTAACTCATTATGGTTTTTGTTTTTTGCAAATTTGTTTACTTTAAAGATATCGGACATAGCTTACCATTCAAAATATAAATCACGAAAATTAAGGCAAACTATAAAAGGATAACAATAAACTTATAAATAGACAAGTAGCGCAACTAGTTGAAATGTAGAAATACTCAAAACGGTTTTAATTTATTTGGTTTATACGACGTTGTAGTAATTGGAATTACATTTTCTATCGAACACTCACGAATAGAGTAAAATGCATCTATATATGAACTGCATATGTTGATTTGTGTGTAGTTGTTTTATCTATCGGAGGTAGAATGTTATGCTTATGTTTATGGTGCATATGCTTATGTGATAACTAATTGTGATATTACGAATATTTTTATGTTATAATACGAGTATAAATATATACCATATTTAGGAGAACCTTACGTTTGATTCATGAGTGAATATTGTGTAAAGTTATATTTATAAATCAGAGCATAAATAAGAAAAGAATATGCCCCCCCCTCCCTTATTACAAATATTTTGATACCTAAATACAAAATTGTTTTTTTATTTTATGTTTAGATTTAAATATATTTAAAATATATGGCAAATAAAGATATAAAAAATAAAACGTAAACTATTCTCTAGACGTAGCCAGGATTTTCCTAAGGGGGGGGGGGATTAAAAAATTTCTAAGGGCTTCGGCCCGCTTTTGCCCGGCTATTCATAAATATTTTTACAAGAGAGGAGGTTATTTTTAATAAAAAAAAATAAGCCTGGAACAAATATGAAATATATTTTTATTAGTTTATATAAAATATAATTAATTACTTGTATATACATTAATATAAAAGGTAATAATTTAGTCCAAACAAGTATAAGAAATTTATTTATAAAAAGTAAGTAGCCATATAGTTGATATTCCTCTATTATATAGAATTGGTTACAAAATACTGGGTAAAATTCCACTTTTACAGACATATTTTAGAAAATATATTACAGTTAATATTTTACCCAAATTTACTATTTAATGCTCTTGATAATAAATATAGCAACAATTTGCATTAAATTATTTAACGCCATCTCTTTATTTTAAATAAATAATGATATTAAAAACAATCTTCATATTATTCATCCCAAAATGTCTTTTAAAGATATTTTCTGATGTCCTTATCAATATTTTATAGTTTTCTGTAAAATATATATTTCGCTATATTGGTAAATTATTTGATTGCCATATGATAATTGATAAAATTTGATATAATATATTGTAAATCTACGACATATAATGTTCCATTGTTTGTATTGTGCTTTAATTTTTTTATTTAATTTATGATTTAATTTTATCAATAGTTTTATAATTATATTTTACTTTTATTAAAATAAATAAATTAAAATTACTCACTTTTATTGTTGTTAAAGAAAACCCAGCAAGGTTTGAGCCGAAAAAAACGACCCTAACCGAGCCAACCGATTTGGCCATAGATCAGACCTGACCCGACACAATGGGTCTCATGAGCAGGGTTGCAATGTCTCCCCCCCCCCCATCGGCGGGAGACTCCCGCAATTTTTTTAGTTTACACGCAGACATCTCACTCTCGCAAAACTATTCAATTGGAAATCTCCCGCAAAAATCTACCGCAATTTTTTAATTTCTCCAGCATTTTAGTATTTTAACGTTTTTAATATATAAATAATAATTTTGAGAGACATTAATTGATTATTTTTATATTTTAAAAATAATTTTTAAATATTTGTTCGAAAAACATGTCTAGTTTGTAAATTTCTTTATATCCTGTTTTATTTTTATCCAATAATAAATCAACATCATTTCATTCATATAAGTCAGTACAGGGGAGTATATCAACATCGATTGCAATACAAAAATTTTATCAAAAATAATAAATAATACAGATGCAACTACATTTGCGGAAATCGTATACATCTATCATGTAGTTCAACATTCACAGAGCTATATCATCACAATGTGGGTCGAATCTTTTTCTCATGATGTTTACGACTTCAATATAAGTGCAAACCTTTGTGGCAGAACAAAAATGAGCAAGGCTATCACAAGTGTTTTAGTACCTAAATCCTAGAGGTCAATTCTAGACTATTTGGAAGATGGGCATCCATATGCAATTCTAACAGATGCATCTAATAAGGGAAATATTAAAACATTTCCCTCGATCCTTCGCTATTTCATAAAGAATAAGAACATTTCAATAAAAGTGTTAAAATTTTTACCTCGGATAGTGAAAAATCCAACGATGTAGCTAGCCACATAATAGTAAATATAGCTGATTCAGGGTTATTAAAATTTTGAATGTCAGCTTTTTGCGCTGATAATGCCTTTGTAAATTTTGGCAAAAACCAACATATTGAGGCAGCACAATAATTAATTAATACCAATTGGCTGTATATGTCGTATACTACATAATTCTTGCAAGAAGGCAATGAATGTACTATCTATGGATGTCGAAATCATTGTGATGAAATGTTTTAACGAATTTAGTTCATCAACTAAAAGAGTTAATGAATTAAAAGAGTAGTTGAAGTTATCTGACTTGGAATGGTGTTAGATGTTGCGATATATACCTATCAGGTGGTTGTCATTAATACCTGCCAGTGATAGAATTTTAAAATTTTACAAACCCTTAAAAAAATACTTTTTAAATAAAGATTTTAAAAGCTGTCCTAAAATTTTGAAAAATTATTTCAAGTATGAAATGGCAGAAGCATATTTGGGATTCGTTTCACATGTAGGAAATCTACTTGCTGCAGTTAATATTCCGTTGCAATCAGAATATTCTTTATTAAAAAAGATTCACAAAATCATGCTACAGCTCTGTTCATCTCTACAGTTAAAAATTGATAATAATTTTTATGGCGTTATTGCTAAAAATATTATATTAAAATGTTCAAATAATACTATAATTAATACATTTTTAAATGAAGCACATATTTTTATTAACACAATTTTAGAATATTTAAAATCAAAATTTGATTTTAATAACTCTATTTACAAATGTATAAATATTATGACCTTGGAACAGAAACCATCAATTGATGTTTTATAAATCAATAAATAAAATATATTAAAAATACAGAAAGACATTGATGTCGTGTTTGAGGAGATTGTAATTCTCTCTATTTTTATGATTCGCCAAAATACTTAAAGTTAGATGGTCTAAAAGCAGAGGAGAAATGGGTAGAATTTTTTCGTAATAACGATAAATCTCTATGCTTGGAAATAATATGCGAGTATGTCTTCTCCTTACCTAATTCTAATGCCTCATCCGAGCTCATTTTTAGCATGATGAGGACTGCCTAGAAAAAGGGAAGAAATCGGATTGCTTTAACAACATTAGAGGACGAGCTAATGGTTAAACAAATATATGTCATGCCAGGAATTTTATAAATAGCTCAATAACGACGGTAAACATTTAGTTCTATTATTATATCTCAAATAAAATATTATCAAGCCTTATCAATGGCGCCATAAAATTTATTGTCAATTTTTAACTGTAAAGATGAACACATCTGCACCATAATTTTGTGAATCTTTGTTAAGATTCTTCTGATTGCAATTACACATTAACAGCATGTAGTAGATTTCCTACATGTGAAATCATTCCTAAATATACCTCTGCCATTCATTATTGAAAAAAATTTTCAAAATATTAGGACAGCTTTTATAATCTTTATTTAAGAAATATTTTTTTAAAGTTTTATAAAATTTTAAAATTCTATCGATGGCGGGTATTAAGAACATATCGCAACCAACATTGTGCTGACTCAATTCTGTAAATACACTCTGTTTTTACCAAATTCACTGAGGCATTATCAGATCAGAAAGCTGACATGCAATCTATTATAATAATCGTCAAAAAACGTCAATCAAATTTAGCCAATGGTTTTCTTTTAAAACATATTTGTCCAATAAAAATGATTATAGCGTAATCGGTCCAATAGTAATCACCTTACCAAGCTCAGCATTCATACACTTACCATTTCGTTCACCGTTTCCCTAACTTTCATAAAAACCTTTCATATAAAAAATTGCGACTGAGAATAATTGCGACTTTTTTTATGATTGTTTGTGATAATTGCGACTTTATACCCATTGGTTATAAAAAATTAATAGTATTTATAATATATATTTGAAAAATCGTGATTTTTGGAAAGTCTCTACGGCCTAGTAGGCAAGAGCTTGGCTTACTTATCCCATGGTCCCTGGTTCGAATCCCAAGAATGGTCATGTTTTTTTTCGGTAACAGATTAAATCATGGGGAAATTTTCATATATTATTTTTTTTTAATATTTTTTTTTATTTATTTTTTTTAAAATTTTTTATTTATTTTTTTTAGATTGTCTGGATTTTGGTAGAAATTTTTGAATTTGGCGTATTTTTAGATTTTTTTTTTGATAAATAAATATCGTGTGGAGTATTGAACGTTTATGGAGGGATCTTAAGGCAAGCATCCCAAGAAATGGGAAAAAATCTTTTTCTCATTTATATTTATGTGAATATTCTTATTTCCGTATTATTAAAAATATGTCTAATATAAATAAATTAATTAAATTTTTAAATGATATAAATTTATATAGAACTATTTTTGTTTTTCCTTAAAAATATATATATCTATATTATCATGTATATATCTTATGTTTATTCAAATAAATTGATTAATTATTTAGTATACCTATTTTTATTAAATTCTTAAATATACTCTTTTTTTCTAAATTCTTAAATATACTTTTTTTTCTAAATTCTTAAATATACTCTTTTTTTCTAAATCTAAATTCTTAAATATACTCTTTTTTTCTAAATTATTAAATATACTCTTTTTTTCTAAATCTAAATTCTTAAATATACTCTTTTTTTCTAAATTCTTAAATATACTCTTTTTTTCTAAATTCTTAAATATACTTAAGATTTTTTTTAAATTTAAAAAAAATAATAAATAAAAAAATATATTTTAAAAAAAATAAATAAAAAAAAAATATTAAAAAAAAATAAATAAAAAAAAATAATTTATGAAAATTTTCCCAAAAATTTCCCCATAATTTAATCTGTTACCTTTTTTTCTTATTCTAACTTGGTGGTTCCATCCTTGGGGGGGGGGCGGTAATATATAGGAGGCCGGACTCGACCACGTGATTCCGTATTAATATATTAAATAATAAGAGTTATATTACATTTTAATAAATTTTGGTCGGTATTTAGCAAATTAGGTTGGTATTTAGAATATTTCCATACATTCACTCATTAACCATATAAAGTCGCAATTATTTATATGAAAGGTTTTTATATGAAAGTTATACCAACCTTCATTCACTTCACATATCAAAGCAATGGTATCCAGCAACCAAGTATAATTTTTTCAGTTCTTATATATAATTATATTATTTTTATTAGATTCTTCAACAAAACCCAACTACCAATATAAGAAAAAACAAACCAAGTTAAAAAGCAGAATAAGCAAAATGCATTGTTACCATCATTCCAGAGGTATGTGATGCTATATGGAAAACTTTAAAAGATATTCATATGCCAGTTCCAACTAGAGAACATTGGGAGAAGGTATTATAAATTTAGATATATTCATATATTTTTAGATTGCATAAAAATATTTTGACCTGGCTCATTAGATGGTAAGCACTTTATATCAAAGTAAATTTTTAAAATTAATAAATAATTTTTAATTATTTTAGAGTTAGAAAAACCAATATCAAACACCTTAAAAAACTATGAAACCTTATCCTATGAAAAATACCAGTCCAGAAGCAAAACATTATAAGTTAAGTAGTGATTGAAGGCACATTTGGCATAACTACTGATAAGTTTGCCATTAATTCTAAATCTATAAAGTGCTCAGTTGAAAATGCCTGTAAAATATAGTATTGAATATGAAAAAATTGAATAAACACCTATAATATTATACCTATTCCTGAAAATTTAGGGATCAGTATAGAACTTTAAATGCATCAAGTACCAATTCAAGAGGAATAAGATATTTATTTAAAGACTATTTTAATTCTTGAATTTATGTATAAATTTAACATTTGATATCATTATATATTAAACTAGCTGATAGCCCATCAAGATTAATGGGGAATAATTTTCTCCTTTATTCAATGATGGATAATTAGAAATTTTCCTATTTAATGGGATCTTATTCAGAAATTTATATTTATTAAGATCAGGGGTTATTTTAAAATTTTTCTAAAATTGCAAATAAATGAATAAAAATTTAGTTCAAATGATTTTTTATTGTGCACATAAATTAAAATTACTAATGATGGGCTAAATATAATTAGCACTGCCTAACCTACTATTGACTCTTAACCAAGTTCAAGAATCTATGAGTCATAAGTATGGATTCTTCCTTTTATCTGACTATTTAAATTTTTAATTTTTATAGGTAAATTTTAACTATATAGATAAATAACAATAAAAAATACAAATTCTCTTTCACCTAATAATCCTATCCTTTCAATAAAAGAGGTAACCTTATTTTCCATATTCTTTTTAATTTAATATTCATTTTTTTTTAAATTCAACCAATAAAGGATATGTAATAATTTGTTCTATTAAGCACTAACAAACCTATCATTGAACCCTTAACCAATACAAAAGTTTCATGACTCAGTTATATATTTTTCATTTTATCAGACTTTTTATAAGTAAATTTATACCCTATTTTTTTGTGACATAATAATTAACTATGTTATTTATATATTAAGTTGTCTATATTATTTTATATAGATAAGAATAACAATAAATTCTCATATACCTAGAAATCCTATCTTTTCAAAAAAATATGATATTCTTTTTTATACATTTATTTTAAGATAAGTCAATTTAAATTATATCTCACAACAGAGAAAGGATCAAATTCAATAATATAAAATTTACATCTATTATTCTATTCAAACAAAATAATTTAATTACTCATTTGCTTTCAACTATTCTTTTGTAAAAAGTTAAATTTAAAAAAATTAATATTTTAAATAGCAATAAATAATAATTAAACAAAAAAGTTAAATTTAAAAAAATTAATATTTTTAATAGCAATAAATAATAATTAAACAAAATATAAAACCTTTTTAGAAATGAGAATAGTTGGAGGCAAATGAATAATATAATCATTTTGTTTGCATAGATGTAAATTTTATATTTTTAAATTTGATCCTTTCTCTGTCTCTGTTAGATTTAATTGAAATGGACTTATCCTAAAATAAATAGAAAATAAGATTGGATTCCTAGGTATATTGCTTATCTATATAAAATAATATAGATAATTTAAAAAATATATAAATAACATAGTAAATTAATATGTTACGCAAAATTAGGGTATAAATTTACTCATAAAAATCTAAAGTCAGATAAAATGAAAAATATATACTTGAGACTCAAATTTTTATATTTATTAAGGGTCAATGATAGGTTTGATGGTGCTTAATAGGAAAAATTAATTATTATAGATCCTTTATTGGTGGGGATAATTGAAATAGACTTATAAAATAAATGAAAAATAATTTAGGAAATAAAGTTACCTCTTTTATTGAAAGTAGGATTATTAGGTAAAAGAGAATTTGTATTTTTAATTGTTATTCACCTATATAGTTAAAATTTTATAAAAATTTAAAATCTAAATAGTAAGATATTAAGAAAAATCCATGCTCATGACTTATAAATTCTTGGACACTAATGACCAGTATAATACTTACCCCTTTTAGACCCCCAGCTTTATAAATATACAGTTATAGGTTTTTAAGATTGGTTATTTAAATAAAAAGGCATTTAATAGCTATTCTATAACACTTTATTATTATAAGATAAATCTGATATGATTCGCGCTTGCTCTAGAAGATTTAGGAAAAAAATTCAAAAGATCTTATTATCAAAATAAAGGTAGAAAAACTGGCCAAGATCCAAAATATAAAAAACTTACAGACAATCAAAAAATCGAAAGACCCGAAAATAAGGGAATTTACAAAAAATCCAAGAGCTTTCTTAAACACAAAATTATCAGAACAGTAGTAATCTTTAACACTATTTTGAGAAATTTCGAAGAAAAATTTTATTAAAAAGAAACTTGAGAAAATAATTGTAAAAATTTCAGATGATATTAAAAATTTAACTATCTCCGAGGCGGGAAAAAATTTTCAAAATTATAATGGGTAGGACTGGGCTTGGAACCTCAAAATTAATATAAGCTTGCACCTGACTTAGGAATATCTTTTACAAATTATTAAGGGTTGAGCTGGGCTTGATAAACTTTTTCAAAATTATTAGATCTTGGATGCTTCCTAATATTGTGAGCTTGAACCTGGCATGACATCTATCGTAAAAAATGAATAAAAATCTTATTTATCGTCATTTTTGACGGGCTTTCTACTAGTTTATTGATAATCTCGAATTTGCTACATTTACCATTATATGGTTAGCTATTTCTTTGGATTTTTCACTATTTGAGGGGAAAAAATTTAATAGTTTTATTGAAACGACCTTAATTTTGTTGAAATAGTGGAGAATATTTCCCTTATTAGATGCATCTGTTAGAATTGCATATGTATGCCCATCTTTCAAATCGCCAATTGACCTCCTAGATTTAGGTCCTAAAACATTGATGATAGCCTTGCTTATTTTTTTTTCATTTATTTTAGAGTCGTTAAATAATATTGGAAAAAGATTCTACCAACATTGTGATGATAAGTATCTCTGTGAAAGTTGTACTACAAGATAAGTGATTACAATTGCAGCAACTGTAGTTGCATCTGTATTATTTCTTATTTTTGGAGTACCTTATTATGTATTTAAACGTGATGTAAGCGCCTATCCCTATAATGTTATACACACACACGGTAGATTTCCAATTGCGGTCGTTTTGCGGGACATTCGCATAAAATATATTTTTAATTGTAAAATTAAAATCGTTTTTTTTATAAAATTTTATCTTATTTACATTTTTTTATATTTAAAAAAGATCGTTGGTTTTTTTTATAAATTAATATATTTTAATTAATCAAGATGTTATTTTATTTTGAAAAATAGTTACCAACTTTGTATTTATATAAACTAATTTTAAAAGATAATAGGCGGATAATTAAGTTAAATCCCAGCCGGGCCCGCAAAAAATTTTTTTTTAGCAATTTTTATATTTCTACCACAATTTTCATATTTCTCCCGCATAATACCAAATTTCTCCCGCAATTAGAAAATTTTGACCTGGCAACCCTGCTTATGAGTCGACCCATCGGGTCGGCCTGCTGAGTCGACTTGCTGGGTTAGCCTGCTAGGTTGGCTTGCTGGGTTGGTTTGTTTGCTTTATCGGTCTGCTGGGTGAGCTTGCTGGGTTGGCCAGCTGGGTCGATTTTTTGGTTTGGCCTGCTGAGTTGGCTTGCTGGGTCGACCTGCTGGGTTGGCTTACTGGGTCGACAAAATATATAGGAAATTAAACTAGTTTGTTTTAATTCGGGTTCAATGTTTTTGATATTAGTAAAATGTTCAAAAATCTTTGGTTCTAGTAATAAATTGGTACTGCTTTTATATTTTGCTCCACAAGGAAAAAATATATTGTGAAAATTTTTTAAAAATTTATCTTAAGCCTAGTTAAAAGTTTTTGATACTAGAATGATGTTCTTAAACCTTTGTGTCTTGTAATAAATTAGCACTTCTATTATATTTTACTCCACGAGGAAAATTTACGAATTTTATTTAAGACTGTTTTAAACCTCGTTATATGTTTATGATATTAGGAAGATGTTCTTAAACCTTTGTGATTGGCACTGCCATTATATTTTGCTCCACAAGGAAAAATATATTGTGAATTTTTTTAAAATAAATCCTAAGCCTAGTTAAAAGTTTTTGATAGTAAGAAAATGTTCTTAAACCTTTGGGTCTTATAATAAATTGGCACTGCTGTTATATTTTACTCCACGAGGAAAGAAATTATGAATTTTTTGTAAGACGTTGTTATAAACTTAAATTGTGATATTAGAAAGATGTTCGAAAACTTTTGGATCTAGCTATTAATTGCCACTGTCATTATTTTTTACCCCACTAGGAAAAAATAAATTGTGAAATTTTTTTAAAATTTATCTTAAGCTTAGTTAAAAGTTTTTGATACTAGAAAGATGTTCTTAAACCTTTCCTGTAATAAATTGGCACTGCTATATAACACTTTTTTTAAACCTAGTTAAATGTCTATGATATTAGAAGATGTTTTAAAACCTTTGGGTCTAGTAATTAATTGGTACTGCCATTATATTTTACTCCACGAGGAAACAATAAATGCGAAATTTTTTTTAAAATATACCTTAGGCTTAGTTAAAAGGTTTTGATAATAGAAGGATGTTATTAAACCTTTGGGTCTTGTAATATATTAGCACTGCTATTATATTTTACTTCAGGAGTAAAAAATAAATTGTAAAATTTTTAAAAACATATTTTAAGCTTTTAGATACTAGAAAGATGTTCCTAAACCTTTTGGTCCTGTAATAAATAAGCACTGCTGTTATATTTTACTCCACAAGGAAAAATATTTACGATTTTTTTAAAGACGTTGATTTAAACCTAGTTAAATGTTTTTGATAATAGGAAGATGTTCTAAAACCTTTGGGTCTAGTAATAAATTTGCACTGCACTATATTTTGCTCCACATGGAAAAAATAAATTTTGAAAATTTTTTAAAATTTATTTTACACCTAGCTAAAAGTTTTAGATACTAGAAAGATGTTCCTAAACCTTTTGGTCTTGTAATAAATAAGCACTGTTATATTTTACTCCACGAGGAAAAAATTTACGATTTTTTTAATGACGTTATTTTAAACCTAGTTAAATGTTTTTGATAATAGGAAGATGTTCTAAAACCTTTGGGTAATAAATTTGCACTGCCATTATATTTTGCTCCATGA